GACTGCTGCAAGTGGCAGATGAATTAAGCTCTAAAAATCTCTGCTGGCAAAAATGTGGCATAGCTGCAACTTCTGATACTGAGCTAGAGTGGGAGTCAGGGCAATGAAGCTGTTAAAGGGTCTGGAATACAAGTCTTTTGAGGAGCAGCTGAGGAAACTGGGATTGTTTAGTCTGGAGAAGAGGGGGCTCAGGAGTGACCTTATAACTCTTTACAACTACGTGAAAGGAGGTTGCATCGAGGTGGAGGTTGGCTTCTTTTTCTGGGTAACTAGAGGTAGGATGAGAGGTGATGACCTTAAGTTGTGCCAGTGGAGATTCATGTTGGATATTAGAAGACATTTTTCTCTGGAAGAGTGATGATGGAATGAGTCCAGGGAGGTGGTGGTCACCATACCCGGAGGTTTTTAAGAAAAGGGTAGATGTGGCACTGAGGGACATGGTTTAGAGCAGTCACAGACATGAGTTGATGTTTGGGCTAGATGATGATCTTAGTGGTTTTTACAACGACTCTATAGTTCTGCAAAGACAGACTAGCAGTATGAGTCTCAGTGAGGTGGAAAATCTCTCCCAACCCCTAAAGTCCTGGAATGCTGGGGGATAGATCAGAGTTTGGCCTAGGTTTCATTTGTTCATTTTAGTATACAAACTACAAAAAAAAAAAAAAAAAAAAAAAAAGGAAAAAAAGAATATTTTTCAGCAGCAAGAATATTTTTCAGTTAGATATTTGCAGTGTTGTTTATTGTTTCACTGAAACAGCTAAAGAATGCTCAGTCAACTGTTTTTTGTTAACTTATGACCAAGGTTCTGGCGCATACCTACACATGTGCTGGACCTTCAGGAAAGGCTGCAAATGCGCCAACTTGTTGCTGTGCATGGGTGAGGGAGGATGTGGGTCAGAGATGAGGGCGCATATCCTCATTCAGACATTGGGGATTTTAATGGTTTGACATAGTAGTTCAGCTACCAAGAGCAACTCTTGTCCTAATTTGCTGGTGTAGCTGTAGATATCCTTTCCTCTGGTGAGTGATGAATTAAATATTTTATTTTTGCTATTGTTTTAGACAGATAGTATGTTCAGTGCTTAGCTTCTTCCCAGTAAATACTTCCTCCTGGGGAATTCTGGTTAAGAACACTCAGGTTTGTTCAGACAGAGCAGGTCATGTGGCAAGGCTGTGCTGTGGTATGTAGGAATCAGAAAAATGTTTTGAAAGGAAGATTGCTATCTTTCCATCTGACCAAATCACAAATAGCTTCTGAAGTTTAGATCAATCAAGAATAATTCTGTGGTTATTTGAAATCTGAGTCTTCATGTAGCCTTCAGTCTGAGCACTTATCTTGTTTCACATCTTTCTCTCCCAAACAGGTAGCCGTCACAAAACTAATCCTTCTGCCTTCTTCAAAACTCCTGTTGATTTTACAGCTTTCAGGGGAAAAATCTCCTAATGAAAGTGCTCAGAATCTGTTTCAGCAAGGACTGTGAACATCAAAAACAAAATCCTGGGGATTTTGCAAGTGTTTGAGTAATAGGAATGAGGCACCAATTGAAGCCAGCAGCAGGGTAAAAATGGATCACATGCACACACTTGATGCTCAAACCTGGTGTATCAGTGAGAAGCAGAAATGCTGAGGGTGTCTGAGCTCCCTTAAGTGTAGGTAGATCATGCACAAGCCAGGAAAAATGGTTTAGAAACAGCTGTGGGCCTTTAGGAACAGCTAAGAGCCTATGTTAGAAGGCATGAGGATAGAGGATCATGTTTTCTTAAATTTACAGGAATTGCCAGAGTTCTCGCTTAAATCCAACCCCCTGAGAGTTTTTCAGACTCTGAGTGTCCTGAAACTCTTTTATTCCCTACAGAGCAGTACAGGACAAATGGTAATTGTCTGCCTAGAGTTCTGCTGTTTTCTGGCTTTAAATAGATGTTCTCAAGATCAACTGATCAAAAGTGGGCCCAGTTATTTTTTCTCTCCTGCCTTTTGTTTTTGAAACCTCTTGCAGTGAATTGGGTGTGTTATGGAAGAAAGATCATTTGAAAACATATGTAACGGTGAATCTCATCTTTTTTTTTTTTAAATGCTATTAATATGAGACGTCTATATTGAGATAATGGAAAAGAAAAACATTCACAATGGAAATAGATTCTAGTTTAAGCTTTCAGGGGGATTATTATAAACGGAGAAAAAGTATTTTAAATACTGTGGAAAGTACCTTGTTGGTGTCCTTTTAAGTGGAATAGCTACTAATGTGTGGGTTACAGGATTGTGTGAAATGTAGCTTTTTACTATGTGCTTAACTACAGTATATTGCTATCATAATCATGTCTAAATGGTACATTATATACCTTCCCCTTTCCATCTCTTTCCCTCCAACAAAAAATTTATTTTTTAGATCTTCCCTCAGTAATAAATTCCCTTCCAGAGAATAAGGTCAGATGTCACAAGCGTCTATCTGTCCCTTTACAGATATTAGGAGGCACTGCCCATTACTCGTATAGTGATGACCATCTCTCTGATTGGGTGGGCACAGGGCAGTGCGGCAGTGTCTCTGCACTGTGGCTCAATAGCTGTTTGGGTGAGGAAAACAAGCGAGACAAGCTTCAGATCTGGAGTAAGGAATGGGCCAGGGATCCCACTGTGCTTCAGTCGTGCACAGTTTTACAGCAGCCCTCATTCAAGCAATGACAAAGCTGCAATTTAGTCATTTCATTTACCATTCACCGCAATTCAGCGGCAGAACTGGAAGATCTGTCAGAGTCCCCTTTTGTAAGGCAGGAAGGCATTGTTCCGCCTTGCAGTATTGGTTCAAACAACTGCACATAAACTCAGATCAGTATTGCCACTGCAGATCTGGCAAGAGAAGGCTGTGCTGCCTGGGGACCTCCTGCACAGAGCCATGCATTGGTGGGCTGTGGAATACTGGCTCCAGGGGTTCCAATGTGGTACATGGCTTGTCAGGCAGGGATGCTTTTGAAAAGCTGTTAAAGAAAAATCAACTGAAATGCGATACATTTTATTACATTCAAATAAGGCCACTGATTTTTATCATTTCCTATTGTTACTTGCCTTGTACTTCTTTTTGTAAATAATAAGAGATCATATTCTGTTTTTTCCTTCTTAAATGCCTGAATAAGATTTATGAGTAGGTTCTGACCTCAGACATCACAGGCAGTGCCCCTATATGTCCACATATAATTTGCTGTTTTATTTTAGTTGGTGTTTTTTTTCCAAATGAAAAGGCTGTAGAGGCATTTGAGGGAAGAACAGCCACTTAAGGAAGGACAGCTTGTTAATGCGGAGTGCTCCACCTAGGAATTGAGTTCAATTTCAAGATATGAGAACACCAGGGGAAAAAAAAAGAGAGAATAAAATTCTTACCATATTTAAATTTCTGTTAATTCCCTCTGAGCTCATAGTTTTCATGTGAACGTACACAGTAGAAATGTAATGTTTGCTTTCATTTATTTTTGTTGTAAACCACTGCTTCTGTCAAAAGTATCTACTTAATCTTCAACGTGAATACTAAAACTAATCAATATTAATTAGACATGTCTTAATTAATGGCTCTTTGAAACAACACAGATCTTGTTTCCTCCTCTTTTGTACACTCCCAGCAGAATTTTCAAATTTCATTAATTACACTTAGCATAACCCAACTCAGCTACTTGTGAATACAGTCAGTCACCTTTGTCTTACAGCTTTCCCTGCTGAAAAATTTGGTATATACTAAAGCTCAATTTTGTAGATTTCTGATGTACTTTGGATTATGTCTGCAATCTGTGAAGATCCTTATCATGTTGTCAGTGTCTGAGTTGTTTTGGTTGTTTTTTTTTTTTTTTTTTTGCTTTATTTAATGCATAAGAAGTGTGAATTTGACAAGATATAATTTCTAGCTAACTTCCAGATAGTGCATATTTTAACTCTAAAATTCTCATAGACCCTTTCATAAACTGATTTTTCACAATGATTTGTGGTTTTGAAATTATTAGAATTTTTTAAAAGAAATTTGTGTTTATCTCTGAGTACTCAAATTATCTCAAATAATAATAATATAGAGTAATAGAGAGCAAATTCTGTTTCACAATCTTTACCTACAGAGCTATTCGCAATACACAAAAGTATTGTACATAAGAGACAATATTTTCTTCTGTCAAAAAAAAAAAAAAGCTGTGAATCTAACCTACATGCAAATCTTTCATACATAGGAAAGAATGTGGCCAAATTTTTTCTCTTTTCTCATTTCTGGCAGTTTCTTTGAACTCAGAGTGATCCACCAAAAAACTTTAACCTCAGCAAAGGTATATTAAATGGCTTATATTGGTATATAAGCCATGGTTACAAACAGCAGCTGGTCCTGGAAGGTGCTGTGTGCAGTGGGGTGGTAGGGCAACATACAGAAATTGTCCTTGGGGAACTGAAACCATGAAACCTGGGAACCCCTTTTGTTTAAAACTCAAAGTTTCCTGCCGCTCTCTTGGCCTTTCCAGATTTTCCCTACTTCCTCAAAGTCTCATCCCGTTTTCATTTACACCAAATACTCCCAGCTGCCTGTCACAGTGCTCAGCTTGCATAGGATTTCAGGGCTGCTTTTGGTGTGTCCATATTTCCTGAATTCAGCTGGAATATTGGGTCATTTGTTGTCACTTCAGACAATAAACTCTCAACACTTACATCTTACTCATTTCTGAAAAGCCCTAACTACTTCTTGTCTATTATAAATAGTAAATAGCTTAATTGCTCTTACCTCAGAAATGAGTAGGCTTGACACTTTTTCTCTAGGACTGCCTTTGTTTGATTTGTCGGGTTCTATGTGCTCAAGAGAATGTAACTTCCTGTGCATTTTCTAATTGTCAGTAAAATGTAGAACTCTATTTCATTATACTTGCTAGTGTATGCAGCTAGCAGTTTCTACGTGTAGGTAGTTAATGTTCAGAATTACGCTGAAGTATGGTGTTAAAGAATCTGATAGCACTGCTGAAAATTATTGCCTTTATATTCTTTCTAGATCCTGATTGCCAGCATCATGTGCAGCTATAGCAAGGACGACTGGACTGAGCTTTCTAAAATGGCTGAGGTAATGGTTTCCTAAATGTGTTGTTCCATCTATCTTTCTTTATTCTCCTTAAAAACAAGAACTATAACATGGAATTTGTGAAGAAAAAAAAAAAAAGATTCAAAGTGAAAAATGAGAATTTAAAGCACATCCATTATAATTTGCTTATTCTGTGTTTTCATTAAAATGATGGAAATGTAAATTTAAAGTAAATCTATTCCATAAAAATGGTCCCTTGGATTTTTAAGCTGTACCTGGAAAGCCTTTAGTCTTTGAATCTATATACTTTTTATTTGCATTTTAAGCAAACTGTATATTATGACGGATGCCATGATAAAATTTAATTCTACCTTTGAGAGCCTAACTTGATCTTACCTTGCCTACAGGCACACTAGTTTGACAGCACCAAAAGAAATTTTGAATATAAAACTCTTGAATATTTAAAGTATAAAAGGCTCATTTAATGCTATTCTAGTTTTAATACAGACTTTCAAAAATGATAGCAGAGAAAGCCAACATACATAATAGCATCCTGCATTCTTCCTATAATATAAATCCAATCTTACAGAAAGAGACTGTGCATCAGAAATCTTGATTCAGTTTGAAGGAAAAAACCCTACTTAAAAACATGTACTTGTGTCCATAGGGAATTGTGTAAGAAATATTTGATTAACGCAGTAATACTTTCATTCAGAAAGGTGTCAATATCTGAATGTACCACAGTGTTCTTGTTTTTAGGTGAAACAGATTTTTCCTTATAGATTAAACTATCTAGTGGAAATAAAAACATGTTTTAAAGTGGAAAAAAAAAAAAAGAAGATCTAACACACTGGGTAAAGAAAAAATGTGTTTTGTTTGTTTGTTTGCTTTTTTTTAATTTATTGATAGTATTAGCAGAAATCTATATGTTTTGTAAGTATTAGACAAGAGATGCTCCAAAAGTAATGCCTCCTATGTTATTATGTTGGCCTACAATGGCAGAGTATGATGTTGGTGGTATGGCAATAGATGCTGAACCTTCTCGCCAATATTCTGTTGCATTTTGTTGATGTGTAGCAAATGGCAGCAGAGGGGCAATCTGTCAAAATGGCATCTGATGTGTATGACCCAAAGTTATACCCTTGAATTCTTCCATGTAGAAGAGCCATTGACATGCTTCAACATTTGCTAAATGTTTATGAAGACTAAACAATGGATGTGAGTGCAGTGAGTGGTGTATTTCAGCAGTGGTGACAGAGTCATGAAAGACAAGCCACCTTCTGAACAGCCACACACAGCTGTCACACCACAAAATGAACTGCTCATCCACATGAACTTGCGGATTACAAACACGGAACTATGTAGAGCTGAATATCAGCTTCAATGTGTTAGAAACTATGACAACATTGGAATATCACAAAGTCTGCTCTAGGTGGATCGCACCAGTGCTCATGCAGGACCAGAAAGAACACAGTCTGTAAGTTTACCAGGGCCAGTTGAACCAATATGAGTCTTAAGGTGATGGTTTCCTGCGTTGCATCATTACTAGTGATGAGACATGATGTCACCACTATAACCTGGTAGGTGAATGGGGAATGTGAATTCCCCATTGAAGAAAAAGTTCAAGATGCAGCCCTCAGTGGGTAAAGTGATGTGCACTGTCTTTTGGGATAGGAAAGGGAGTGATCCTTCTGGATTTCCTGGAACACAGACAACCCATCAACTCTGGCTGCTACATCATGACACTGACTGAACTGAAGGCTCAAACTTCCACAGCCAGGCCAGTAAGAAAGATGACCGTTTTTTTGCAACATGATAAGGCCAGGCCCTATACAGGTTTGAAGATGATGGAGCACGTTGCCAATCTTGACTGGACTGTCCTGCTGCACCCACCAAACAGTCAGGATTTGGTACTGCCTTCTTCCATCTGTTTGGGCCCTTGAATGATGGACTGCATGAGCAACGTTTTCCTAGCAGCAGCACCATCATAGCAGCTGTGAAACAATGGGTCACCTCTCCTGTAAGATTTTTATGGGCCTGACGTGTAGGCTCTTGTTTATCACTGGTGAAAATGCACCGATAAAGGTGGTGATTATGCAGAAAACAGCATTATGTCACTTAGAATTTGCTCTATTAAATAGTGTTAATTGTGATTTTTGTATCTTTTGTAGTTTCCGTAAAAATACATAGGAGGCATTACTTTCAGAGAGACCTATATGTTTATAATACTTATTACAAGAGTGGGACATTTGATTTTTTTTTGTTTCCATGTAGCTGAACATGTACATTTGGACATCATTTCTTCTTTATTCAGTGTATGAAACCCTCATATGGCTATTTGGGAAGACACTTCACTGTTGTCTGGGTGTTTTAAACCTATGAGGGAAAAAATCACTTTGGGGACTTAGGGAAGTGAAATTAAACATTATAATTAAGTGCCTTGGTGATCTTCAACGGTAGTCCATATTATACCTGTATTTACCCAATTGACCATGAAATCTTTTGTGGGATATGTGCTTGACACGAGCCCCGGCGCTTCTAAGCTGACTGAGATGAATTTTGCCTCTTTCTCTTCTGCCCTCCAGTTTTAAGACAAATATTTTCATCTGTTTGTATTTATGCTGCCCCTTTTAGGAAAAAAAGAAATTATTCAAGTGCACGCAATGACATGCACCATATGTAGAATACCTTTCTGCTGCAAGGCTGCTGCTTGCCCCCACTCCACAGAAGGCACTGGGTACTGCACAGTTTTGAAAGGGCAGCATGTTTTATCACATGCCTGAGGCCTTGTGGAGGAGGCGATGCTGAGGCTGTCCCAGTGGGAGCCTCCACGACTCAGCAGCATCCTGGGGACCATGACCTGCTCACACAGTCGTCCTGTCACCATGCTGCCATTGGGCCTGCAGGGTGGCCTGGCCTGCTGGGCAGCCAGGCAAGAAAGGACCTCAGGTGCGTTCTGGCTGCTCCTGTGATTCCTTACGCTGGGCACTCTTAGGCCGTGGCCATGCAGCAGGCAGAAGTTCAATAAGCAACAACAAAATGCAAATGCAAAGCAAAATGCCAGCTACAGCCATTCAGAACATAAGCAGAGAGCTCCATAGCTCAGGCCCATGCAATTCAGCAAAGTGTTTGTGTGCTACCAGTGTACACCACAGCTTTTTTTCCCTTTTATTTTAGGTAATAGAGGATGGTAAGAGAAATTAGCATACATGCACTTTTCCCAATAATCTTGCTCGACTTCAGAAACAAAAATATTTAATAACAAAACGTATGGCACAGTGCAGTCATCTGAACAAAATCTAGAAAAAAAATGCATTAAAGCAGAAAGGGGAAATTTATTCCTCAACCCCAGCTCTTCAGAGCTGCCATTCCCTGTGTCACTGACTCCCAAACCTTGCCCTTACTGCTGGAATAAGGCACTGTGAGTATATTTCGTTTTTAGCATTATGCAGAACCAACTCTTTATTATGGTGATGTCATTTACATTATTTTCACTTTAGTTTCCTTTGTATTTTTGGAAAGCCATATGAATGTCTGAAAATTTTCCCTGTAATGGCCAACATATTTCTTTTTCAGTCTATCACAACAGCTTTCTCTCTCTCTATTTTTATCTTAAGGAGAATAACCAAATATATGAAGAAATATATTTAACATTAGAAATAAATGCCACAGGAAAGAGTAGATTACTGAAAGTTAATTTTGTTGTTTGTGTTTTTTTTTTTCTTTTGCATGTTGCATAGGCTGCTGGTGCAGATGCACTGGAGTTAAATCTGTCATGTCCTCATGGAATGGGGGAGAGAGGCATGGGCCTGGCCTGTGGGCAGGTAGGTTGCAACAGCAATCTCTTTTGTGTCTCTTCAGCAGTTCTACACCAACACATTGCAAGTCATACTTCAGGGGAAGACACAAGCAGCAGATTACTAGCCTGAGATTTTTAGGTTGAATGTGATTAAATATTTTGCACTAAAAAAAAAAAAAAAAAAAAAAAAAAAAAAAAAAAGCTGAGAATATAAACAATGCTTAGTTTTGCTCAGAACAAAAATGCATTATGTATTTGACAGAAAACAATATAAAAACAAATAATTTCCAGAAAGTGCCTGGACAGAATTTGTTGGTTTCATTGCAGAGCTCTGTAGATATCTTTGAGATCACAACCTGCTGCAAACTGCCTATATCAATAATGATTTTGAAGGACATGAGATATACAGGCATTTCATTTTATGTTTTGCTTTTGAACCTAAATGTACTCTTGAATCACAGAGCATACATTCTGGTAGTGCCATCTACAGTTAACTTCGTCTCTTTTATTAGCCTGCGTTGTATAACCTATAGATTTGATGGATGTGTACAGTTTAGATTGGGATTATCCATATCACACGTTTCTGTCATGCAGAAACATGATATACAGTTTTTCAATACATCCTATAATTCCATTTAGGAGCATACATGTTATTTTGCCTGCGAAAAGAAAACAAACATGCTCCAAAGCCTGTTCCCATATTCCTTTCTTTTTCTAGTTTTCAGATGTTTGCATGTTTTGCCCATAGTTTGAAATTTGTTTTGGTTCATAAACATGCTCAGAAGTGAACTTGGAAATTCTCTGAAAAATCTTGGTTCACGTAGGATACCAGGAGAGATTTTCTAGAGTTTGGTCATTAAATTTTCACAAGTCTGAAGTCTGTTTACCTTTGCATGCATTCCAAAGGGTAATAACGAGTTTGTGTATTTGAGCATTTGTTTGGCTTGACTTGAATTTTGAGTACTCAATTTCCCATCTTGCTACATTTTGAGATGAGGAAAGAAAGAGAAGGGAAACGAAGATTGGAAATCATGAACACATTGCATGTGCTAAAATCAACATATACTATTCAGTTCATCAAATTGTGCTAGTAGATGTCTTAATTCATCCTCACTTCCTCAGCTAAACATAAAACTTGAATGGTATGGTTGGATAACTAAACCATTAACTTTGTAAAACTATTAGCAGGAAGACAATAGGAGCTGTAATCATTTCAAAGCAGCAGCATGCACACTTTAGCTGAAGCTTTATCATAACAGTACTGACAGACACAGTGCATGGAGCTAATTTATTATTTTTGTTATCAAAATGATGCCAATCAATTCCATGCTATAGATCATTGTATTTAATGAAAGTAATATGGATGCTTGTCATAGCCAGTGGTTATTTTCCAAAGTTATGATTAAAAACAGGAGAGAAGCAAATTATAAAAGCCCTCCAGGACCACACTAGTAAAATAGTAACAGTTATTAATTCTTTTTCAGAAGCTTGTTTAACAACAAACAGCTGTAGTGGTCATTTTTATAAATTTATGAAGCAATTCCCACCCTTCACTCTGCACTGCATAACCCAGTAGTTTGGATTGTCTACATGAGATTGCAGTACTGTTCACTAGAAGGCTGCACTTATCCAGAGAGTGTCCTGAAAATTTACATGGGTGCTGAAATAGGCTCATTTCAAGCATGGGGGCTTTTTTCTTTTTTTTTAATTTTTCTTTCTCTTTTTTTTTCTCTTTTTTTTCCCCCTTTTTGGCATGTGCTATTCCTTGCTTTCACTGGCTAGAATAATATATGCATGTGAAGTTGCTTGAATATGTAGTCAGTAGGGAGCTGTCTGGCTACATGAGTTTTTACATATCTTTCAGCTATTGTAAAATCAGAGAACCAAATGCAAAATCTGAGCATTCAGGGCTATCATGTGGATTTGTGGCTCTCCTTGGAGGACATCAGATCCAAAGCAAGAAGATTACATTATATATATATATGTGTGTGTGTGTGTGTGTGTGTGTTTGTATAACAATATTTCTTTCCCATACAATATAGACATTCGTTTGAATGCTTAATACATACTACCTCACTTAAATATATTAATGCTGTTTTAGATGTCTTGCTAAAAATGAGAGTTTAGAGAAGAATCTATCTCTTTAGATAAATAACTGAATAAAAGTGATCCTTAGAGGGCCAAATACGGAGGTTCTTCCACTAAATTGGCTAAAATAAATTTAAATGTAGTTTATCAAAGCAAAGGATGGGGATAGACCAGATAAAATAATGATGAATGCTAGGATGAATGGTAGCCCTTGTGGGTCTACCCAGTGTGGAGGTCCTGGAGGACCCCAGTATAGATGCCAAAGTGCTAGGAACCATTTTGGCTCCATGCGTAATTTTTTTTGTCCCTTGAGCTGAAGTCAAATAGGTCATATAAAAGTAGTGTGTGGGGCAAAAGGCTCAGATATATTCTGAACACTAAAAAAAACAAACATGAGATATCTAGAAATTGGGGTGTGAGATTTTGAGAGATAGAGAGGATTTCAAGTAGAGCAGATTCTCTTAAAATTTTTTTGATAAAATATTCCACATCTTCATAGGAAAATTTCTAAGGTATTTGGTCCATTTTCATGCCGAAGCACATTAAAATCCTCAGGAAACTACAGAAATTACTCAGTTAAGAATAATGACAGAAAAACATGCATGCATATTTTTACTATTTCTAATTTCTAAAATGTTCTTCTTTCTTTTTCTTTTTCTTTCTGGATTTTTTTTTCTGTTTTTTTTTTTTTGTTTTTTTTTTTTTCTTTTTTTTTTTTTCCTAAAGGTAAAGGAAAGGTTAATTACACTGTCTACTTTTTCTCCTCATTTCAATTCCTGTGGTGTGCCTAAGGGGAACATAGAAATCTGGGAACATTGGATTTGGTTTTTTGTTATCTACTCTCAAACACTTCCGCTGTTTATACCCACTGTAAATTTTAAAAAATTCAGACATATCCAAATAATATATAAAAAGAATTGGTGCTAAGGATGGTTGTTCTTTATACTGAATTACAGTTCTCAGGTTTTATTTGGTTTTAATTCCAAGTCATCAGTGCAGACACTCTGGCGCCTAAGCAGCACCACTAGCCAGAGGGTAATATTAAGAGGCTTCTGTATCGCTGCCAATAAGTTACTTAAAGCTGGTTCTGTATAAAATGTCAATTATATTTACTAATGCTCATTAATGATAATAAAGTCAAGGTTTGTGTTCTTTCATAACAATCTGCAACTGTATAGAAGTTTGATATCACTAAAAATTGTAACAGAATTTCCATCATTAGCCTGAAGAACACCAAGGCAAGGATTTTCTGTGCATCAAATAACGTTATGTGTTTAATAGTAAACCTGAAGATAATATGGTGAACAGCAGATTATTAAAAAAAAGACAGCATAATTTATTACTGAAGTAACTGTAGCAGAAAATTATAAAAATAATAAATCAATTGAATGCCTCAGAAGGTAGCACTCACATTACAGTGTCTAACTTTTGAGGTGGTCTATTTCTGATGTGCTTTTTGCCCCATTTAAAGATTCTTTCAGTTTTTTTCTTTTACTAATCTTAAGAAGTGGCATTAAACATTCAGGACCATTACTGTGATGTGAAATCTACAAATTTCAATGCTTGACTTTTTGGTTTTGGTCCAAAAGTCAACTGTTCCCTCCAGCTGTTCTGGTAAGAATGAATAAATAGTTGAATTGAGTCAATAACCTCGGTTTTATTTTGCATTCCTGCTAAGTTTTGTGTTGTTCTTTGCCGTACAGATGAAACCCCAGGCTTAGTATTTGCACTGTGCATATACGTAGAATCTCAAGAAAATTGACTGGGACAAGTGATACATAAATACTTTGAAAATATCAGTAAGTCTCTGTAGCCAAACAGAGAGTGAGAAACAACATGGAGAAAAAGAGCAGAACAGCCTGGAGCTACTGGAAAGGCAGTAACAAAGCTGCCAGATGAGTAGCTATGAAGTAGGCAAGGTGTACCGCAGATGATACAGCAAGGAACAAATTGCAGCCCGAATGTTTCAGATTGGGCATCAGGAAAAAATTCACCCAGGAGGCAATCCAGCACTGCTGTATGCTGCCCGGCAGGGCTGTGTAACCACCATCTCTGGAATTTTCAGGGCTTAGTGTAAAGCTGTAGCTAACCTCATCTGTTGTTGGCATTGTTCTCACTCAGTACAGAGCTAGGTCTAGCTGACCTCCACAAGTCATTTCAAACCAACATTTCTGTGTTTCTGTGGCTTCACTCTACAGAATTTCTATCAGAAGGTATTGCATTGTTTTATCAGAGACAGCGACCTATTTGTGGATAAGGGGAGGCACAGATACTTGTTCACTGGAGTGAGATCTTCAGCATGAAGTAGAGATCTCAAGTTGAACACATTAGTTGCATTTCCGAAGCAGACAGGAACTTTCCATACTTTTTAAAAAAAGACAATCAAATATCTGAGCCTAAGTACAAGAACAGAGATTTTTTTATGCCATGAACAAATATTTTAAAAACTAATAACATCCTGGCTGATAAATATTTCTCATTAATTAGTCATACAATCTAACTTCTAATATATAAAATATCTGCCTATCTCAGCATTAAAACTATAGGTTAGAGAGACTGTTTGGTTTTCTTATTTTATATTGAAGGAGACATATATTTCTCTTGTGAGCACTGAAATGCAGATCCTGGTTAGTTAACTATTCAGATCACATGTAAAATGAGCTTGCTTCATAGATCTTTTCTTACCTTTATTTTTGTTTTACTTAAACTCTGCTTGCTACAGGCTCTGCTGCTGTGTTTGTGTTTATTGCCTGCAATTAGGATGCAAGTTTCATAAAAGCCCACATTTCCTCTTTCAGAAGAAGAGAAGTCTGTAAAAAACAAAAAGCAAAGAAAATAAAACAAAAAAAAAAAAAATGGGTAACAAAAGCTGTGGTTACTCTGGAAAGATGAAAACTAGCTGCATGGAACAATTAGATTTGCTCTGCTGTACCTTGG